TTACCCGTATACTACTGATTACTGTATAAAATATATATATATATTATATTATAATATGGTTTATTTATAGTAGTATAGTACCACTATACCTATACCTCATTAACCTCATTGGGCAGCCATAAGTTGCAGCGTATTTTTTATATTGTTCAATTATTAATAATATTATATTATAAATATAAATTTAATATTCATATTGTGGTTTACTGTGGGTATATTGAATAGATAAATTCACTTTATTTTCGATACCTAGCAAAAAGTAAAAAGTAAAAACCGGAAATAAGAAATGCAATACAATTTTTTTTTATTTAAGGAACGTTCAGTATATAACTATTTAGCCTGACAATAAAGCAATAAAATATCTAAATAATGATAAATACAAACTTATAAATAGTTTGATATTACAATTCGAATTGAATAAGTATCATGCAATACGATTATTTCCAAAAATAGTTTTGGACTAATAGTAATATAGTATATATTATAATATTAATAGTATTATAGAAGTAATAACCAATAGGCAATAAGAATAAGATACCAAAAACCATATTACGTATTATTAAATTATAATAATTTAATCATTTCGAATTTCGATTTCTGGCATTAGTCGAGTAAGAAGTGTTGACGTGTTGTAGTAAAATGGCACCTAAAAGATCGGTGGTATGGGAGCATTTTAAAAAAATTAACGAAAAATGCGTGAAGTGTCAAGTATGCAAGAAAGATTTCAATTACCATAAAAATACTACAAATTTAAAAGGTAATAATAATAATAATATTAACTAAATTATAAAAAATAAAAACGCTACTTCATAGATTAAGTTTTTTCTTCTATGTAATAACAAAATTTGAGGTTTTTATTTTGATTATAGCCTGTATTTGATGTTCGCTTTAACATCCTTTTTTTAATACAAATATCATGATTACACTGCAATAAAAAATTGTGTTGACACACGAATATTTTTAAATTACTTTTAAAATAGTTTTGAATTGTTAGATTTTAATTTTTTTTTAATTTATAAAAAATGCTTATTCAAAACTACTTGTAAAACGTGTGTGTACTGTGTAGCACTAGCATAATAATTAACTAGATAAATATAATATCTGTTTACAGATATCTTAACTATATGATATCATAACTCATAAGGTTATAAGTTATAACTATAATTCATAAAACTAATAATATATACTGAATTGTGTTGTATATAGATATATTATTATTTTTTATAATATATATTATTTTATTTTTATAAGAGTATTACAATTTTTCAATTGATTACATTTTTTTAAATTTCAAATTTAATTACTATTTACTTTGTTTTAAGAGTTTAAAATTCCAATTTATTTATTTTGCTTGCATATATTTTTGTTTTATCTAAAGAACATTTGAAGAGAAGACACCCTGCACACCTTAATCCTATTATAGAAACTGAAGAACAATTAGATTCAGATGTATTATCGGCCGGTCCTTCAACTAGTTCTAATTTACAATCAGAACATTCAGGTTCTAATACGAGTTCACAGCAGCCCTGTACTTCACCTATACCTAAACGTTCTCGCCAGTTAAAATTATTTGGTTCGACTAGAGGTAATGAATTATCTGAAGTAGAAAAAAGTTCGATAGACAAAAGTCTAATCAAAATGATTTCTGTTGATTATCAACCACTTTCATTAGTTGATAATATTGGATTTTTGGAGTATTCAAAAAAATTACAGCCTTTGTATAAGCCACCTAGTAGAAAAACGTTAACTATGAAATTATTACCGGATGAATATAATAAGATAGCTACCATTCTTAAATCTATGTTAAGAAGTATCAACAATGTTTCAATTACGACTGATATGTGGACATCGGATAGCAATAGGGCTTATTTAACAGTTACGTGTCACTTTATATTTAATGATCGTTTATATTCGCCTGTTTTAGCAACAAGAGAAATTATTAAAATACATACTGGTGCAAACATTGCTACTTCAATTTCAGATATTTTAATTGAGTGGGGTATTTTAGACAAAATAGTAACAATAGTTTCAGATAACGGGGCGAATATAAAAAATGCGATAAATGAACACCTTCGTAAATATCACCATCCATGTGTTGCGCATACATTAAATTTAATTGTTAATGATGCAATTACTTCAAATGAAGAGTTACTTAACGTGCTAAAAAAATGCCAAGCGTTGGTTGGGCATTTTAAACATAGTGTTTCCGCGTCTACAAAATTAAAAGAAATACAAAACCAAATGAATGTTCCCGAATTAAAAGTCAAACAAGATGTTAGTACTAGATGGAATTCTAGTTTGATAATGTTGGAAAGACTTATTCAAATTAAAGCACCGTTATCTGCCGCAATAACATTTCTTCCTCGTGCTCCAAATTTCTTAACCGCGTTAGAATGGGAATTAATATCTGACTGTCTTCCGTTATTAAAACCTTTTGAAATAATGACAGTTGAGTTATCCGGAGAACATTATCCAACACTATCCATGGTTATTCCTTTGATACGAGGACTACAGTATACATTGAAAAACAAAACTACTACAACAGCAGCCGGTACTTTACTTAAAAAAACAGCAATCGATGTTGTAGCTAGGCGTTTAGGGATATTAGAATCCAATAAAATAGTAGCAAAAGCTACATTTTTAGATCCAAGATTTAAAAAGACAGGATTTGGGTTAGTGGACAATGCAAATAATACGGAGAAATGGATAACAGATGAAATTAATTCTATAATGAGAAATACTCAAGAGAACCAAACATCTAATATGCCTATCAACACAGAACCTAATTTATTATGGGAACATTTTGATAGTAAAGTTTCCCAAATTAGAACAACCTTATCAACGGGAATCTCGGCTTCTCTCTTAATACGGCAATATTTAGAAATGCCCCACTTAAATCGAACAAAAAACCCTTTAGACTTTTGGAAACAACACAAAAATACATTTCCTGAACTTTATTCGCTCCATTTAAAATATTTATGTGTTTCCGCGACCTCTGTTCCGTCAGAACGCGTGTTTTCAAAAACGGGACAAATAACGAACGACCGTCGGAACAGACTTCACCCCAAAAATTTAGATTATATTGTATTTTTAAATAGTAATGTAAATTTAAATTTATAAATTAACAGTTTTAATTAACATTTTTTTTCTCAATGCAAGATGCAGTTTCAAAATTATTATTAATATATTGATTTTATATAAGTATTATTATTATTAAGTTATTAATATTGTATCAGTTTGAAATATTTTATGTTATGGTATTTATTTTATATTTTATAATTAAATACTTAAATTAAATATTTGTTCTTTTATATTTTTGATTCTTTGCCTAGATACATGTTACAGATAATTCACTAAAAAAGTAGTTGGTAGGTTAGTAAATATGGGTTATATGTATATGGTTGGCACTTGGTACTACTAATTTAGACTTTAGTATTATACTATTATTATTATTATTATTCGATTATTTTATTATAAATTATTTAAAATAATAATATACCTACCACTAAATCAGTAGCACTAACTAACAGTTCAATTAGTTAGTAACTATAATCATTCGAATAATAAAATAATCTTATAGATTTTCTGTCCGAATTAAGGAATTTATAATTTATTTTTATAGATAAAACAATTATCATTTATAGGTAAATACACTTCAACTGAGTATTACCTAATTGTATTATTATTTATTGATATAGGTATTAGCCATTAGGTACACTAAACACTATACCAATGAGTAATGACTATTGACTATATTTAATATTTATAAAACCAATTAATTAAAGTATAAAGTAGTCAGTAGTATACGAGTAGTGACTAGTGAGATAAAAAAGCATTCGATTATTGTATCATTCGAGTGAAAAATTCATTCGAATGATTCATTCGATTATAAAATTTATCGATTACTAATCATTCGATTATTAAAATCATTCGATTATTCCCATCACTAATTTTACAGAAATTAAATATATACAATTATTTAGGGGGTGACGGCCCACGTATCCGTGACTAATTTATCTTAGCCCATGGGTACGAGGCAGTCTTACAATTTGGGTATGTTTTATAATTTACAAAATTGGGTCGGCCCGGGTGATTACTGATCAGCCCGCTCGAAAAAGTGGCGTCGATCAGTAGTCCCGGACGGACGAGCGTGGCCTAGGCAGGCGCGCTTGGAGGGACTGACGGCTTGTCTCGGATGACCCTGATAGAGGCCGTATTGGTTCCCGTCGTGAGTCTGGCGGGTGATGCGTCAACGTCGTACTCGGATTGGCCGGTAGGTTCGCCGCTGGTCGTCGACTGGTGCGGTGACGTAAATCACAACCGATAAGTGTTATTACTAGGTTGGTGTGACCGTTCGTAAGCACTTATATGATCGGCGTAGCCCGGAAACGGGCTATTTTAAGATGTACCGCACCGGTCGATGTTGGTGGCTGGAAGTTGCGCCGTCCAGTAGTCAAGTTCGTGTTGGCCGCGACTGTTTCGGTCTTCGGTAGCGTCGTTCGGCTTTGGCAGTTTCGAT